AAAAAAAAAAAAAAAAAAAAAAAAAAAACTCACTAAGGCACTCAGGCTTGTGTCAAACTTATGAGTCTTATGCCTCAGCCTCCTGTGTAGTTACAGTTATGAGTGCATATGGGTACTAAGTGCCAGGCTGGGATATATGTTTTAATGGAGGCATGAGTTATCAAGTGTGACTACTTGGTCTACATTTATCACATGGTGGTTTTAACAATATTTAAAATGTGTTGATTGAACATATGGGGATTGAACTCATGACCTGTGCGTTTCCTTACATCTCCAGACCTTTTTATTTTCTGTTTTGAGACAGGGTCTCACCAAGTACCTGGATTGCCCAGGCCAGATGCAGACTTGCCCTTTTCCTCCCCCAGATACAGATGTGTGGGCGTCATGCTTGGCTAACAGCTTTATTTAGCAAATGGTCTAATCATGATATTTACATCTAGATCAACGTAACGATGTCTCCACGAGCACACATGCGTGGAAGGCATTTCCTTCGCTAATCTCTTCAGTCCAGATTGGGGAAATGAATCAAGGGTAAAACAACCAGGTGTGGCTTGAGCTGGAATGCACGTCACCGACCCATCTGAATGGTCTGTTTTCTCTGAAGCCCTTCCACATCCCTCCCCTGACACAAATTTGTGTTTATTTCTGACTCTAGGCTGTGAGGTCCTTGAGCTCAGGGAGTGTATTTTAGTCATTATATATATATATATATATTTTTTTTTTTTTTTCTGGTACCGGGGATGGAACTCAGAACCTTCTGCTTGCCTGGCAGGTGTGATGACCATTGAGCTAAATCCCTGGCCCAGCCATTGTGTTATCCAGGGCTCTTCTAGTGTGTACTGAGGGGCAAGGAACAAGAGGTAAGAAGGAAAAAAGAAAAGAAGGAAGGGAGGGAGGGAGGGGAAAAAAGGCAGAGAAGGCTTGGGAGGGAGGAGGACTTGAGAAGGTTTACAGTTCGATAATAAAAAAAAACCCACTTAAAAATGGGCAGAGTATCTGAATGAACGTTTCTCCAGAAAGTATTTAAAGGGCCAATGGGCAAATAAAAAGATGTTCAAGTCACTGATCACTAGGGAAATGCCAGTGACAGCCACAAAGAGATGTTACTCCACACGTGCTGTTATGGTTTGTATCCAGATGTCCCCCAAAGCCTTGCGCACTCAGAGGTGGGGCTTTTCGGAGGTGGCTGGAAGTAGGGTGTGTGATACCGGGATTAAAAGTGTGCAATAACCAAATTAATTTAGCATAGTTCTCAGTATGAACCATGGAAGGCCCACCCTGGGTGTGGCTGGTACCACCCAAAAGGCTTGAGTCTGGATGGGATAAAAGGAAAAGGGAGGTTTGCTGCTGCTGCTGCTTTACTTGCCATCTCCTGCTACCCTGCTGTAGATGGAGAGACTGTTTCTCCTCTGCGACATCCCTCTGCCATGCCCCTGCCTTGGAGCCGACAACTATGGACTGCAACCTTTACAAACTGAGCAAAACAAACCTTTCCTCCTTTAACGTTGGGTGCCAGGTATTTTGTCTCAGCAGTGAGAAAGGTAATTGAGACACTCACTAGGATGGCTAGTCTCAAAAGAACGTGGTTACGGATGTAGAAATAGGGATTCACACAATGCTAATGAATACGAAACAGTGTAATTGCTTTGGATTTGCCTGGAAGTTCTTTTTTTTTTTTGAGACAGGCTCTCATTTACCACACAGGCCAGGCTGGTTTCAAATTTGCATTTTCCTGTTTCAGTTTCTAGAGTGCTGGGATTATAGGCAGTGCCACCACACCTGGCGAGATGATTAAATTTACATGAAGTTACTTATACATACAGTTGTCATATGACAACAAATAAATGAACACACAACCCCGACTCACCATATGAGAAGCTCTGATTTTGTTTTGTTTTGTTTGTTTATTTTTGAGATAGGGTCTTGTGATGTAGCTCTGGTCTTGAATTCATAGTGATTCTCCTGCCTCAGCCTTCCAAGAAACTCTGATATCTTACCAAAAAAGTCAAATGTGACTTCTGGGTTGTTCTAGGAAACCTTTGATTTTGTAAACTGGGAGTAGAACACAGTGACTTTTGATGGTCTTCTCTCTTTTTTTGGTACCTGGGATCAAACTCAGGTCCTCGTACTTGTGAGGTGGTAGAACCACTGAGCTAAGTCCCCAGCCCATGATGTTCTCACTTTGAGCATAGTTCAGCCCAAAGGGAGCCACATGCCTCAAGATGCTCTCTCTTCCCTTTTTGGAGATAGAATAGAATGCAACTATGATTTTTTTCTCCAAGGGAATATCCTGTCAACTATTTGTTCTAAATACATGCTCTAAACCATAAAATTCATCTTAATTTGTCAAACTTATTTTTTAGGTCTTACTATAGAGTAGAATTACTTTTTTTTTTTTTTTTGAGATAGGGCCTCATCTGTAGTTCAGGCTGGCCTTGAACTCACTATGCATCCCAAGCTGGCCTGACACTCTCAGCAGTCCTCCTGTCTCAGCCTCCCTCAAGCTGGGATTACAAGTGTGTGCCATCGTGCCTCCCTAGATATTTCATTTATAATATAGCCTTGAAAATATTTCTTTGCCAATATGCCCAGGAGGACCATCAGTACTATACGTTACCATGTGGCAATACAGGTGCTTTGTGATTTCCCCTCAGGAAATGATTGGAGAATGGTATTTTGCTGCTTGCTGAAACAGCTTGTAAAGAAGAGCCTGTTTCAGATCTCTGTGGGTTAATCATTTTGAATGACCTCTCTGGAATCCTGCAAAATCATTTGTCCATGAAGTATTCCACCTTATCATTGGGTTCCGAGCAAAGGAGAAATTTTTATTTAAGCCTCTCTCATTTCTGGATGCTGGAAGATGGAAAAGGTCAACAGAATAAGTCAGCCAAGGCTGTTGCAATGGATCATAAAACTGGGGAAATCTGATAAATTAATGTCATGCACTTGGTTTTTTCTCCATGATCCTGCTCTTCCTTGTCACTTGGAAAAAGTATGGCAAAGATAAATTAATCACAGCAATGCAGATGGGGGCCACAATTGATCTCTAATTACATGAACTCAGGGCTACTGCTGGGTCAGGGGCAGTTTGGTTTCCTTAGTAAGTTTTATTTACATGGCAAAGTGAAACCAAGTGGAATACCAAACAACAAGCAGGGAAAAACATGGTGGAAGCCAATTGATTGTTGTCAGTAATAACTCACTTTTGGTCAAAATGACATTTGTAGAGTAAAGGTGTTTAGTATGATTGCAGAGGGTGCCCTGTGTGCTGGAAAAAAACGTAAGTGGTACCCACAGAAGTGGGTATTTGGTTCTACTGAGAAAGCAAGCATGGTGTTGCAGCCTTAAAAAAAAAAATCAGTGAATTACCTAAGTTTTCTTTCACTAGATTATATTCAGGCAACTGGCATGAGAAACTAAAATTCCTGCCTTGGCCTAATTGTCATTTATATTTAAAAGAGAAAAGAAAGGAAATTTCTGAACTGTTTGAAAGATGATGTAGCAAGTACAGCCTGATCTTTTTATGTGGAAATGTCCAGGTTAGAGAGTGGACATTTGGTAAAAGTTACACTCTGTTTATTAAGAGGACAGAGAGCCAACTACATTCTGAAAGCTTTATCTATGCAATCTCAACCAAGTTATTGCACTTGGCTGATCCTTGAGTGAATTGGATGGTTCCTTAGATTTAAACCCTTAATATAGAAAAAATTCTCACACTGCTGTTCTATGATGCTATCGGGTAAACCACCACCCAGAAGGCCAAGAGAATACCTTTTTTTGGGGGGGGTGTTTTGAGACAGGGTCTCACTATGTAGTTGAGACTGAACTCACTATGTAGCCCAGGCTGGTCTCGAACTCATAGCAATCCTCCTGCCTCAGCCTTCCGAGTGCTGGGATTACAGGCATGCGCCACCATGCCTGGCTTCAGAAAATACTTTTAATGATAGACCTGTGGCTTGTGTTTAGATATTCCCTCAAAACTTTGTGCAGTCATAGGTGGGGCTTTTTCAGAGGTAGATTGATATAGGCAGGTACTTTTTTGAAAATGAGAGGACTGAGGTCTAAGAATTTTTTTTCTCATTGAGTTTATTGGTACATCTTAGGTGTACAGTAAGTTACATTCATTGTTGGGATCTTGTACCTTTACATGACAAGTCTTGGTTCTCATTTTCTCCCCTTGTCCCTGACCTCCCTTCACCCCCTCCTCCCTTCCCTATTTATTTACAAAGACTTTGTTTCCATTTTTTCCTTTTCTCATATTTTTTCTTTTCCCTTAGGTCCTTTCCCGTACCCTTTCCACAAGAATTTTCTTTCGGAAGATTCCACTTCTAAAATCTCGTGGACAGTAAAAAGGGTGATTGTGACTTAAGCACAGAGTTCTGTGGGGCCAAGGCCTGGGTGCTTCTGTCCTACCCACCTACCTTTGTCAGCACAGAACTCGGGCCCACAGGAAAATAACACTTCTAGGCCCTCCCTGTATCTGTCTACCTTCGCTATGGAATGTGGCTAGAGTTGATTTTGTACTTTTTACAGACTGCCCACAGAAGGGCCATGTGACCTCTTCCTCTCTCTCCTCAGCTTGTGTGACTAGATACCAAGGGTTCCAGGGTGGTGGCATTACTCAGTACAAGGAATCTGGATCTTTAATTTCATTGCTCAGCAGAAAACTGCCCAAGAAAGTCACTTACCAAGAAGATCCAGGTCAGATCTGTGTTTCACAATGAGAAATTGATTCCATTAGGCTTCTGAGAATTTGAGGCTGAGGATTTTAGCAGCTATTGAGAGGGTCACCAAATTGTGTGTACGTGTGTGTGTGCGTGTGTGTGTGTATTTAGTTAAGAAACCAAGTTCATTTTTGCCTTTCAAAAAAGAGCCAAAACTGCCATATGAATTAGTGTCTCATAGAATTGCCAAACTTAGCAAATAAAAATACAAGACGGGGCCAGGGATTTGGCTCAGTGGCTCCTGCACCTGCCTCGTAAGCATAAGGTCCTGAGTTTGACCACTGGTACTAAAAAAGGTTTTTTTAAAAAGGAAAACAAAAAGAAGACTATCACTTCAGTTTGAATTTTAGACCAGCAACAAACACTTTTATAGTATAAAAATAGTCTGTGCAATATTTGGGACTTTCTTATACTAAAAAAAATTCATTGTTTATCTAAATTCAAATGAAACGAAAGCAGGACATTACGTACAAGTAGGAAGTGCCTGATCTTATCTATCTATCTACCTGTCTATCTATCTATCTATCTATCCAACCACTTAATCAAATAATTGACATACAAAAAGCTATGTGTGAACTACGTGAGAGGCTGAGGCAGGAAGATCCCATGTTCCAGGCTATTGGGCAATTTAATGAGACTCTGTTTCAAAACAACAACCACCACCAAAAACAAAACCTGGGGATGTCTAGAGCACTTGCCGAGTTTCACCCCCCTGGGGTTAAAAAGAAATTGATTTGCTTCTCTGTGTTTGGCCTATTTCAACCAGCATAACATCCTCAGGTGACAGGATTTCAGGAAGGGCTTTTAAATTGGGCTCGGGGACTGCTCAGTTTATTAAACTGGGAACAGAAAGCAATGAGAGTAAACCACGTGAGAAGTCAAGACGAGAAATGTCCAGGCAGATGCTGAGTGAGGCGAACATTTGGTCGGCTTTGTTTGAGGAACTGAAAGGAGGCCTGTGCCGTTGTAGCTCGGCTCGGCTCGGAGGCAGCAGTCGCTGCAGGGAGGCGAGCAGGGCCGGCCCTCAGGCCCGGGGAAGCAGTCCGAGCCCTCGCGTTTGGTGCTTTCCCAGGCTGTTGCGAGTCCTGCGCGGAGCGAGGTGCAGCAGCAGAGGGAGCGAGGCCAGCGAAGAGGACCGGACAGCGATTCAGCGAAGCAGCAGTGCGGGTCTGCACAGGGAGGGCGCTCGCCTGGTTTCCGTCCCAGGCTGCGGCTCCCCAGCAGGAGGCGGTTTATTAACCGCTGGGACCGAGCTGCTGTGCAGGTGGAAGGGAAGAAGCGCCCGGACTTTCAGAGCTCGGCGCTGCCGGGCCAGGCGGCTCTTGCTCAGCTCTCTCGCAGCTCACAGGAGCCCAGGGATCCCTCCAGAGAGGAGCCGGGCTTGCCAGACGGCAGCCACCATCATACTCCACACACCCGTGAGATTTTCGCTTTCAGGTCTTCCAGCCCAGACCTCGGTCGCTGGGGAGCAGGGCTGAGCCGTCCGTGCGGTCTTGTCTGAGTTCCTGATGCGAGAGAAGCCATCAGCATACTTGTTTCACGCGGTTAGATTCTGGGGTAATTTGCTGCGCACCCAAAGTAATCAGAACAAGAAAACAGTGGCTGGAACTTGTGTGGTTAACAGTGGACTTGGGGAAAGTGGACCTACTGGATATGTGAACGGAATGAGAATTAACAAGATGTCATCATCGTGAAAAAGGACAGAAAGTCTTAACTGTGAAGATACAGGAAGCCAAAATAGAATAAAGTTTTGCAAATCTCGCATTTTTAATGATGCATGTATACATCTTATGAACTTTATTCTTTTAAAAAATATAATTTTACCTTTGTTAAGATGTAGATAATTAAGGATCCAACATTAACATGTTATTATGGATAAATATTGAAATCAAGTTTTCTTTTAGATAAAGAAAATGGAGGCCCCTGAGGGCTAACAAGGCATCACCAAAGTGGGAAGGAGAAAAAAAAATTAAGACCACAAAATATTGGGCTGGGGACTTAGCTCAGCGGCACACAGCCTTTCTAGCAAGCACAAGGTCCTGAGTTCGATCCCTGACTCAAAAAGAAAAAAAGACTAGAAAATATAAATAGTGCTTTTGTAACTACTTGCTATAGTTGAGCTGTTCTTCTTGATCTTGGGCTCTGTTGATGTGACTTTTTTCATCTTTGACAACTCAGTTATTAAACCACGGAAACTCAACTGCTTCTGCTGTGATGAACGTCAGCAACGTTAGGTGCTGTTTGCTATGTGTCAAACATCATATGTACCGATTCATTTAAGCTTCCCCATAAACATAGGAAGGACCATTGTTCCCGCACACTTACCAGGAAACGGAGGTAGGAAATGCAACTGGTACAAGGTCACCAGCTGGGTAGCGATAGTGTGGGGATTCACCCCTGGTTCTCTGTGGGCACACAGCTTTTTCTCAGTCCCCAATACTGTCCTCATACACTGCTTTCAGTGTTCCTTATAACTTCAAGTCTGTCAACCGATTGTCCTGTGGGTCTTTAAAATTGGAGTTGGGAGGGTAAGGAGTTGTGATTCCTAATGAAAGCAATACAAAACTGAAACACTGAGGTATGACATCAATTCATAGACACTAACTCAAAGCCGGGCGTGGTGGCGCACTCCTATAATCCCGGCACTCGGGAGGTTGAGGCAGGAGGATCGCTGCAAGTTTGAGACCAACATGGGCTACATAGTAAGTTCCAGGTCAGTCTCAACTACATAGTGAGACCCTGTCTCAAAAAAAAAAAACCAAAAAAACCCAGCAAAACCATAGACACTAACTTTGGTGATGGCATAGAGGAATCGAACTTTCCTGTACAGTAGACTTGGGAAGGAATATGGGCAATAGTGCACGTGATTGGACATTTGTGATCCACTCCCATTTCCCCTGATATGATTTACCCCATTGCAGAAGAAGGAAAGTTACAAGCTACATTTCCCAGATGACTCCCTTCGAGTTAGTTTTCTGGATGTAAGTTGCATTCTGCTAAGCATGGTAGCCTTATTTGGGAAGCCACATGAGGAAGCCACACTTCTGCTGTTTCTGCCAGCAAACTCTGTCAAGAATGTGATTTTTTTCCGTGTAGAACTTCCTGATTGTTTTGGCTTCCCAACTACCAGAGATAGCATGTTTCTGCAGTAGGAAGCTGAAACTCCTGCTTCCTCATTTTTCAAGGATAGTCCTGATTTAAAAGGCAGATGTTTTGAAGCCCTGGCCTGTGTATGGCTTTTGAAGTTTCTAAAAGTGCAACCTAGATTTGTTCTTGGGACTTCCCATCAGCTTGGCTTTCTCTCCAGTGCTCTACAGCAAAGCTCCTTCTATTTTCACTGGTTGGAATGTACTGTTCTCTGCTAACTGAATGGAGGCTGACACAGCGACAGAAAAAAATGCGTATGTCCTTTGACCTACTTCTAGGAATTTAATCTTCCACAAAGATGTGCTCAATGCAGCATTGTTTGCAAAATCTTTAAAAACCCTAGAAACATTCTAAATGTCCATAAATAGGAAACAGCTTAGACAAATTGTGAGACATTTAAATAATGGAATGTTTGAAAGAAGATACACTGTGGGACATTAAAAGGAATCAGGTAAATCTTTCTTTTCTTGAGACAAGGTTTCACTATATAGTCCAGACCAGTCTTGAACTCACTATGTAACCCGGGTGGGCCTGGAGCTCTGTATTGTCCTGTCTCAGCTTCCTGAGTTCTGGGATTACAGGTATGTGGCACCATACCCAGTTCAAGAACAAAGTAGGCTTTAGGAACTAATGAAAAACCATGTCCAAGATGCACTGTTAAAAGTAAACAGTTGCATAAGGGAAAAGAAAAAAAAGTAAAAAATGGAAACAAAGTATTTGTAAATAGGGAAGGGTGGACGGGGTGAAGGGAGGACAGGGGTATGGGGAAAAAATAAGAACCAAGATACATCATGTAAAGGTACAAGTTCCCAATGATGAATGCAACTGTATTGTTTGCTTTAAATGTACCAATAAGTTTAATGGAAAAAAAATTTTTAAAGAATTGAAAAAGTAAATAGTTGCACAAGTATGTAATATGTCCCTCTTTGAACACAGACCATTTTGGTGTTATTTTAATTTTTTAACCATGAAAACCTATGAAATTAAATAAGGCACGGGGGCTTTATTATATGTAACCTTTTTCAAATCCATAAGTAGGTCCTTGAAAGTATCATATGCGTAGGCGCTGTACAGCCCCTGTGCAGGCTTGCACCACTTGGTATTGTGAAGGGCTTTGTGGTTTCTGAGTAAGAAATGGTCACTGCCCTCCGGGGCTGCACAACTTGGTCTTGACCACTGCGAACATGCACAGTTCTAACACGAGGCACATGTGGTAATTGCTACCAAAAGCAAAGCAATGGGGAAGAATCTGTAAGAGGCCCTGCTGACCTTCAATGGGCAGTTCATGTCAAGAGATAATTTTTATTGGATGCTCTACGTTCCTATGTTCTTTGAGAATTGTTATTATTAACTGTATACCAGATGCTGGGCTACACCACTTAGAGGCAGTGTCTTATCTAAAGCTCCTAAGAACTGTGTGAGGAGGAGTTATTATCCCATTTTACAGAGGAAGAAATGAAAGCACAGAGATGCTAAGAAACCAGCTCAAGGTGGTTCACAGCTGGACTCCTGTCTGCGGGGCCCAGCGCTCCGGCTTTAAACCATTAGTTGTACACACTGTGCTGAGGTGACTGCCTGTGTTGGAAGATCGGGCTGTGGGGTTGGAGTCAGATAATAACGGATGTTTTTGAGCGGAGACCACGTCCTAGGCATGGTGTAAAAGAATCCTTTGGCTCTGCTTCCTGGCAAGGGCCCTTCTTGGTGACATGTAGCCCCACCTGCCTGTGCCTGAGCAGCTCGCCGCGGTGAAGAGCCGGGAACCCTGGACCTCGCCTGACCCTCGCGCTGCCCTGAACCCCAGCGGTGCTCCCCACCCGAGTCTCCCCACAGGGCAGCTGCCACTCGGCCTCACCCGATTTCCAGGGGCTGCAGACGCCTGTGCGCCTTTCCGTGAGGAGCCCAGCTCGCGTCCAGTCCGCACCTCGGGAAGGACAGGGGCCGCGGTGCGCTCAGCTCACGGTGCAGTGCACGCCGGGCAGGCCGGAGCCCTTCAGTCTGCTCTTCAGAACCACAAAAACACAATAAAAGGGGCGCAGAGAAGCGTCTGAGGGGAGGGCAGGCTGGTCACCGCGACGCCCCGCGTCCCACCCGCAGCTTCTGAGTCCGCGTCCGCGGATCTGTCAGCGCCTCGCGGTGCGCTTGCGTTCCTTGTGTGGGGTTGGTAGGTGCACGCAACACACAATTTCCCTCCTTCGGTCGCTTTTCCCTCCCTTCCCTCTGTCCCTGGACCATCTTCCACCCCAGACCCACTCTTTCAGCCCTCTGGCTCCAGCAACCTGAGCTCCCTGAGCTCCCAGGGACCCCGACCAGGCCTCAGTTCTCCTTTTGCGCTCCTCACACCTCCACGCGAGTCCTCTTTCAGATGGCCACTGAGAAAGTGGAAGCGATCAGAAGACCCCTTCTCCCTGCGACTCATCTCTAGTGCCTGCGCCGTGCACCTCTATCGGTTCCTCTCTTCTCGCTGGGCGGCTGTCATGTTAACAAAAACTTTATCCCTGGTGCAATGGAGGTGACTCAGAATGTGGTCTGCGCGGCAGCGGCAGCGGGGGCGTCCCCTGGAGCTCGCTAGGGAGGGAAATCGGGATCTGCTATGGGCACGACTCCGGACGCTGCCTAGAGCTCAGTTTAGATCCGCTCTCCCGTTTCCTCTTCTAAGGCCTTGCCCCGCCCCACGGTGCCCTTTCTTCCTCACCGCCCCGCCCCCGATCCTTCTCCCTGCAGTCAAGCTGCTCCACCGAGGAAAACACGACCCCACATGCTGACGCGCAGCCCTCTCTGCTACGTCTTCCCAGTCCCTCCGGAACCCGTTCCAGTCAGACTTGCGTCCACCACGTCACCAGGGTGCCCCCGCGGACCTGCTGCGAAGTCAGCCGTTCTGTGCACCCCTCCCCGACCTGTGCAGGACTGGCCAGCTGAACGTGCCTACTCCCTTATGCCAAGACTTCTCTCCCACCTTTCTGCTACTGTGTCTCTGTGCTGGCCCTTGCTCGTCCTCTGGGGCCGAGAGTTTGCAATGTCCAGGCGTCCGCTGCTCAGCGTCTGTCTTTGCTCAGGCGCTTTGTGATCTCATCCATTTAGGTCACCTGTGCCCTCATTCGTGGAGACGCATCTCCTGCTGGACCTCTCCTCGGAGCGACAGCCTCTCCTCTCCAGCTCCAGCTGCCTCTGGACGCCGCTGCTCGGATGTTTAGTGATCAGGTCACATTCCATGAATGTGCTTTGACTTCCTCCATCCCAGTCCCTGGGGAAGCAGCAGCTTTACCCTTCCATTGGCTCAGGTCAAAGGCTTAACCCTTTCCATTCCTTTTATCCTACATCCAGTCCACAAGGAGATGCTGCTGGCTCTATTCTAAACACACATTGTAAAGCCAGGCATGCTGGCACATGCCTGTAACCCCAGCACTTGGGGAGGCTGAGACAGTAGTATGTAAGCCTAGTCCAGGCAACTTAGCGATACAGTGAGACCTCGTCTCATGGAAACAAAAACCAAAACAAACCCCTGGGGTTGTAGCTTAGTGTCAAGGTCCTGGCTCTACCTCTAGTACCACAAACAAAAGAAGACAACAAAACACAGCAAAACAAAAAAAAACCACACACGGTAGAAGTTCAGGCTCCTCCATCCCATCACCCTGGTCCAAGCTACTATTCTGTCCCTCAAAAGATATTACGAATGTGATCTCAGAGCTGGATTCTTTGTGTCTACTCTTCTCTTGCTGAAACAAAACACCCAACACCCAGAATCTGAGGGAGGAAAGGTTTATTTAGCTCACAGCTTATACAGGTTTCAGTTCATCAGCTGGCTCCAAGGCAGGGCGGCATCACAGAGGAGAAAGAATTCATGGTGGGCAGAAGGTAGCAAAGCCAGCAAGGGGTGACCACAGCTTTCTAACCCTTATATCATATCCAGGCTACTGAGGGTGGGCACCACGCCGTGAACCAATTGTACTGTCACAGTCCAGATGCAGTCAGCTCTGAAAAAGCCCCATCTGTGACTGTGTGAGGGTTTGGGGGATATCTAGGCAGCCATCACATTTACTAAAAAAAGAGGTCAGATTTAATCACTCAGCTGCTCAAAACCCGCAAACAGCTTCCTTTATCTCAGCAGAGGAAGACGGCCTCGCGGGCCTACATGATCCAACCTCATCTCTTCCCACCTTCTCTCTGCTTACTCATTTCTGCCACTCTGGCTTCCTTCCCTTTCTGCTAACAGGGCAGACGCAGCCTCCTCTGGGCTCAGGCAGCCACTGCTGGCTCTGGCTAGGATGTTTTCTTAGTTTACAAGGCTCTCTGCTCAGAAGTCTCTGGTACTTCCCATCCCTTCCTTGCTTAATTTTCTTGCTAGTAGTTTTCAATATCTGA